GGTTCTACCCTCCCCTCTCTGCTTTAGCACTGTGGAGGGTAGAAGAGAAGCAGTCGCTGCTACGAAGCCCCCCCCCCCCCCCCCACCGCCCAACGCGGGGTAGGGAGTTGTCGCAGTCCGCGTGTCCTTCTCCCCTCTGCGACTAGGAGCGTAGGTCGTGTACGCTCCCCTCCGTTCGCGTTGCAGCTTTACTCGCCAAGGTTCGCACACGCAGCGCGCTAGTGAGAGCAGCGACTGCTTTAGCTTGCTGGGCGGACAGCTGCCGCCTCCTTTTCCGCAGGGCGCAGAGGCAAAGCGCCAGCAGGACTGAGCTAAAGCAGCATGGGCGGCGCTCGCAGAGCGGAGTTTATCAGAAGCAAGCGAAGCAGAGCAGCGAGAGCGAATGGAACTTAGCCTTCAACCGCGGGGGGGGGGGGGTGGTACACCTTGGCCTCTCTGGCATGAAGGCTGTGCCGCTAAACTCTCATCCAGGGGTGACGAGGACCGCGCGCCTGCGTGGTGCGCGGATGCAACGGTCGGTTTACCTTCATACATATTTTAGCTACCAGTAAATTGGGCCTAACTGTCCTACATCAGTACGCCGAGGTAAAACTTACGAGAAGCAGCGGGGCTAAAGGTGGAGAGCAGTCCTGCAGAGAAGGCTGGTGCTCTCGCGCTTCGCTCCTGCGCCCTGCGGAGAAAAATACCTCCTTTAAACCAGGTCAGCTTAGTAAGGTTAACCTTAAATACGATTTATTTATGTATTAGGAGGGTGGCTTCTCTCTGTACATGAAGTTTCACTTCTATACTACACTCAGCAGCTTCGGGTCCTCCGCTTGTTCCGTTTCCACCCCGAGAGGGGGAGGGTAAGAAGCTACCGTCGGCAAACGTAGGCTTGCGCTAGGTGAGCTGTCACATATCAAGCACGGTGTGCGGTCCTGTTGATTAGCTAGCGTACCCCTAGCTCCTTGTCTTACGCTCGCTACGCTCCACTCGCCCTGCTGAGAGCAGCAACTTTAGACTCATCGGAGATCTACCATGTTTCCGTACAGCTCTTGAGGATCTACGTAAGGAAGTAAACTAGTCCAAGCTAGGCTGCAGAACGTAAGGATGCCAGAGCGTTCCTCCTGCTTCACAAATTTCGCTTTAGCTAGAGGAGCCCCCCCCCCCCCCTCCCTGCGGACTGCAGCGCAACCGAAGGGCTAAAGCAGAGAGGGAGCCTGTATTCCTTACCTGGTTATCCGAAGGACTCGAAGCTCCCTCTGCGAACCAGTCCGCTGCGAAGTGTGGCGATGGAGAGGTGGTCAATATTTATGTAATGTAAAATTTTAACTGGGAAAAAAAGTATAAATTCTTAAATAAATTTAAAAGGAAGATTTAAATTCTTAAACTAACAATTATTAACGTAGTAGTCAGTGCCCTGCTGCTAGATGCTTGGCCGGCTCCTCTCCGCAAGCGTCCTGCGGAGCGTAAGGAGCGCGTGCTAAAGCATGCGCCCTGCGTAGCGTGCGTAGCGAGCAAAGCGCGAGCGGTTTAGGGGTGGGGAATAACTCAAGTTAAACGGCGCCTCCTTCGGTCGCGAAGCGCGAGAGCTGTCTGCTTCGTACTGCAAGTGAAACTCTACGTACGAGATCAAGAAGGATCCGGAAGCTAAGCGAATGTAGGAGGACGCTGATAAAACTACAGTACCCGTCGTGCCTTCGTAGACAGGGAGTGCTGCTTTAGCGCCTTGCTTTAGCAGTGGGAGCGTTGCACTCCTGCTTTTCCACTGCGTACATACTCTGATTTAGCAAGGGGTGCTCTTTGCGAGTACGGAGCCGGGACTGCGACGCCCTCTCCCTCCTCGCGTTTTTGCTTTAGCACCGCTTCGTGATGCAGGGCTCTCGGATGATGCGCCCTGCGTACCGAGCGAAACCCCAAAAGCAGTAATACGGTTGCTCGCAGGTTTCATAATCATTATATCTAATAAATTCATTAGAAACCCTTATTACCTCAAGCATGACTCCTAATCCTTAGTAGTAGTCCCGAATAACTACTATCAAAAAAAATGCGCTCCGCAGTCGGCATCGCAATCCAGCACACCTCTCCGACACGAAGCAGCCCTGCTCCCTTGCGGACTCCTTTAGTGCTCCGCGGGTAAATGGTTATCGATAACCCAGACAGCGGTCCATCAGTCCTCACTGCCTGCCCCTCGACCTGCTTGCTCCCCGCCTATTTCTTGCATCCGCCCTGCAGCGCGCAGAGGTGGCAACTGCATTAGCATACTGCGGATAACCACCCCTGGTCTGAACCAAGCGAAGGTTGACAGCCGTACAGTCCTGCTAAACAGTCCTTCAGGGAGGTGACTAAACCACAGCAGCAACCGCGAACCCTTGCTTCCCCACCCAAGAGCGTTCCTTGAGGGGAGGTAGCAGTGCTCTCCCCCACTCCGCGCGCGCGCTTCGCTCCTGCGGCCGCAGGGTTTGGTCCGGAGGGCGCTGCAGGAGGGTCGCTAAGGGAAGGTCAGGCCAACCCTCGTTTAGGGGCGAGGAGACGGAAAGCCAGACAGCGTATCCACGTCAGAGCTAAAAGGTTACTTTAGCTTTTTAGTGCGTAGCGCAGGGTTGCCTCTTGCGCAACCACCGAAGGATTGCTTTAGCACCCTCCTCCGCAGGCGTGCGCGCGAAGCAGTGCGTAGAGGTAGGTTCTTAAAAAAATAATAGAACTATAAATTAAAAATAAAAATAAAATGCCTCAACTAGTTCCGTTTTTTTTCTTCAATCAGTTATTATCTTCATTTCTAGTATTAGCTATTTTAGTATATATTTTTGCTAAATATATTTTACCTTCTTTCACATATACTCAAATGATTAGACTATACATTACTAAATTAATTAAAAACTCTAAATAATATTTGGCCTTCGCCACTGCAGGTTTAACAGGGGGCTAGCTGCACTTCCCGCAGCTTTAGCTGCTACTCTACTGCGTACCGTATCCGCGCTCCGCGTACTTCGCCAACAGGCGATCGAGGAGCGCTTGCGCCGTAGGGAGTAGGACGTTTTGAAGCCGCTGCACAGCAAGGCTCTTTCTGCTTCGCAGCACCTAGCCTTGTAAGCAGCAGCTTGCCCCTCCAACATTCGCGCTTCGCGGCGCAGCACTGCGGCCCGCAGCACTGCGCCCTGTCGTAATCAGCAAACCAGCGAGCTGGTTTACCCGTTAGTTCCAGTTCCACCCTCTGCTTTAGCATCCTCGTAACTGTGACAGCGCTGCGGGGCTTCCTCCCCTTTAAGAAACAAAAATTAATTTTTTTACCCCTTTAAATATAATTTAATGTTATACAGAAATTATATTTAGAAAATTCTAATATTCAGCTGCTCCAGCTAAAGCAGGGACGAGAAGGTGATCTAGCAGTGCTAAAGCAGTCGCTGCTCTGCTTCTCCGCCCTGCTAAAGCAGGGAGAAGGCGCTGCGCGTGTCACCTATGGACAGCCTCGCTTGCAAACCCTCCTTGAAGGGTCTCTTTCGCATGCATGGCTTGCTGCTTTAGCTCATGCTACACAAGATCCGCAGGGTGCATGTGACCTACGCGCAAGGTGCGCAGCCCCTCGCTGCTTTAGCGGCGCTCGGGTTCTGCTTTAGCACTGCTGGAGGGGGACGCGGAGTGGTACAGGAGGTACGCGCCTCCATGTATCGGAGGACTGATTTAGCTACCTGCGCAGACTGCGGGGCGAGAGGGTAAACCTTTCTTTAGTTATTTACTCCTTTTTAAATTACACTTTTAGCTGAATTGGCAAAGCGTTCGTCTTCGAAACGAAAGAATATTGGTTCAAGTCCATTAAGGTGTTTAATTGTCCACTCGCTCCGCTGGCCTGCCACCCCCCCCCCGTGCAGACTGATAGCGGAGAAAATTAATCACAGACCGTTCAAGGCATCGCGTAACCTTGCACCCAGCGAAGTCAAGTTTGCTCCTTATAGATGCGCGCGCTCCAGCTAAAGCAGACTGAGGGTTGTGAACCGTAAGAGAACATAACATTTAGTGCGAGTAAATTTAGACCTGCAGGGACACCTCTCAGCAGGGGATCCCTTTAGCCTTACATCCAGGGCTACGCAGTCGCAAATCGCGAGCTAGATTTCGCCTAAGCACCCCCCCTGAATGAGGGGAGCTGGAAGGCGGCTCCCTTTTAGAAGCACAACTATGCGCTCAGCAGGTAGAGGTCGTCGGTACGGCTCCGAAAAGGGTGCGGCTAGTCAGAAGGTGGCGGGGCGCATCCGAAGAGGTGCGAAGCAGACCACCGGTGCGCCAAATTCTCCTCTCCGCCCGCTCCGCAATCTCGAAGTGAGCGTAGCGCGTGCCGAAGGGTGCAACTTTCGACCCCTCTCCTCTCATTGCGCACTCATGCTTTATGTTACTGCGGAGAGAATCAGTACTGTGTAAGAAATGAGGTGAAGTTGCACTATAGAGTGGGAGATCTTATCAATTAAAGTCAGAATAATAGAAAAGAAATTAGAATTTGGTTATTAATTTCAGGTTATAGTTATTTGGCAAAAACAAAACAAGGGGGCCACTCTTGATAGGTAGGCAGTAATACACGCGCAGCGCTTACCTGGCGAGGCGCATCGCATGCAAGGGAAACACAGCAGGATGCTAAAGCAGCGACTCCTTCCTCCTTTTTCTGCACCGCAGCGCGCGCTTCGCTCCTGCGGCCGCAGGCTATAATCCGGACCTTGCTGCCTACGGTTACGGCATTGCGGAAGGACCGCCCCGCAAGCTTAAGCTAATGCAGTAGCCCTCCCTCGCAGGGGTGGAGGTGCAAGGCGGACTGCTTTATCTGTCCACCACAGCGTCCCCTTAGTCCTCCGCAAGGTGTCCGGCCTGCGCCAACCGAACCTAGCAGACTACATAACGTCCGCAGCAGGCCGCAGTGCTGCGGCCCGCAGGAGCGAAGCGCGTAACTCCCAGGTATTTAAGGAAAGGATCCACTTGAACCAGGAGGGCTCCGCATGTATTTTCAATTAATTGTAGTTGTAAAATATTTTTAAAAGAAGAAGTATAGCAAAAAAAAAATAACGCAACCGTAGGGTCGAGAGCGCTTGCGCGCAACGTACGTTACTGCAGCGCTAGCGGAGGGTAGCACTTCTTGCCCTCCGCCCTTTACCTTAGCTCCGCAGGCCGCAAGCTGCTTCTGCTTTACCACGCTCCTGCTCGCGTTTCGCGACCCCAGCAGGCGCTCCTGCGGAGCAAAGAGGGAGCGTGGGGAGGAGGGTAGTGTAGTAGTAGTTGAGTGAAAGGAATGTAGGATAGAGGACAAATTGGAAAGTCGCTCACTTTGGGAGTGAGAGCTATTGCGCGTTCGAGCCGCGTCTATCCTATTAATTACAGGTACAATAAATTACGGTAGTCAACTAAATACCAGGCTGAGCACCCTTCCGCTCTCCGTTTCAGCTGGAAGCTCACCACCATCGGTCAGGCAGCAACGCGAAGCGCGCGCAGAAGCGCATGCTACCACCCCTCTGCGTAGCCGGGACTGTGGAGCGAAGCTGTGCACCCCTCCTTGCGCTCGCGGAGCACTAGGCGAGGATCGTTACTCCACCGCTACTATCCGCCCAGCCTTCCACAATAGAAGCTGTAGCAGTCCGCAGGTGCGAATATCCGGCCGTATATCTCGCTCTGTAAATACACACCTCCTGCTTTAGCGCGGCCATCCTCCGCAGTCGCGAAGCGCGGCGGGAGCGAAGCACAACACTGCTACGCAGACGAGGTAATCCCCGCTGCGCGCTAAATCAGTACGGATGATACTTTGCTTTGACCCGGTGAAGCTCCCCCACTCCTCGAGCACTGCTGTGCCAGTTGCGCTATTTTTTATATTTTAAGTACTTATTAAAATTAAATAATACTATACTACACACTAGTCGCAACTAAAATTAGGGTTTAAATTAAATTTAATAACAAGCTATACAAAAAGGTTAAGAGGTACCCCTCAACTGTTTATCGTTCTCAAGTTGACGTGTAGCCTTGTTATATCATGCACTACGCTCCCGCCGCGCTTCGCGACTGCGGAGGATGGGCGCGCATGCAGGAGCTACGCGCATGAGGCCTACTGTGCTAAAGCAGTCCTCCGCTCCGCAGGTTTGCTAAAGCAGCGTACCGTGCGCAGCTTGCTCCCAGCGAAGCACTGCAGCGCTTTAGCCCTTCCCTTACCAGGCGAAGCTGTCGCGCCTTCATCCGCAGGCGTAGGATGCTAAAGCAGCAAGCGGAGCTGGCTGACAGCTGGAAAATAAAAATTTATTAAAGAACAGCAAGCCGTCTTCAGGTGCTAACAGTTAACAACTAACAGGCCCCTTTTACGCAGGAGCATGCTCTCGGTGCGGACAGTCATATTTCCCCCCCCGTCTCCTGCGGAGAGAGGCCTGCGGAGGGCAGCAAGCACATAAACGGGGGGGGGGCTCCTGTGAATGTTTTACCTGTTTCCAACTTTAGATTTTTCCGTTCGGTAGAAGTTTATTATTTTTTTCAGCCCTTTATTAAAAAAATACCCTACTAAACTGAAGTAAACCAGGAATACTCAGTTATTTATTTTATAAGAAAAAAACTTTATACGCTTTCTAAAAAAAGAATAGGCCCCTGCTTGCCTCCTGCGCCACAGTCCGTTTGAGCAAACTGGTTGGAGCTAACGCTTCGCTGCTGCGCACTGCGGATTGTATTAAAAGACACTCAAATATACATACTATTTAGCCTATTAGCCTTTTTTTAAGTTACGCTCCGCTCGCCGCCTCCTGCGGATGAACCGCTGCGCCCCTCCCCCCTCCCCCTTAGGGTGGACTGCGGAGCGCCGCTAAAGAGGCGCGCGCTACTACGACTCTCCGCAGGCGGAGGTGCTCTCCCCTGCAGCGGTCCGCAGGCGCGGAGCGGAAGGACTAACTTGAAAATGGCTCACTGCTTTAGCACCCCCCCGCAGGCCGCAGGAGTGCTTTAGCTGTTTTGATTTAAATGAATGATTACTTTTGGTACTTTTGCTGCACCCCGCACAGCGGGTTCGGAGCAGCGACTGCGGCGCAGAAAGGTAGTTCTGCTTTAGCATACCAGATCTAAGCGAGCGATTCACAAACCTACCAGCCGGTTCTGCAGAGCTCCTTTCCCTCACTCGCGCTTCGCTCCCGCCGCGCTTCGCGACTGCGGAGGATGGGCGCGCATGCAGGAGCTACGCGCCTGCAGCGAGGCTATACTTAGCAGTACTCCTGCTCTGTGGTTGGAACCCCATAAGGGGGAGGGTGCGGATGGCTGCAGCGGTGCTTCGCCAAGCAGTATTGCCTTATTTTATTAGAAAAAAATGGTAAATAAAGAAAGACAAGAATTAAATTTAAAAATGGACCATCTATTTATATTTTTAAATGGAATACTTAATGATGCTGCTCAACCTTGACAATTATTTTTTCAAGATAGTGCTTCACCAGTATTTTCAGGGTTAGTTGATTTACATAATAAAATTGGTTTTTTTTTAATAGTTATTAGTTTATCTGTTTTTTGAGTACTTTTTTCATTAAATTATTACTATAATAATAAAAAAAATCCTATAGCCTATAAATATTTAACACACGGTACAATTTTAGAGTTAATTTGAACTATTACTCCTGCATTAATATTAATGGCAATTGCTTTCCCTTCATTTAAACTATTATATTTAATGGATGTTCAAGGTCAATACCTGAGTTTAGCCGTAACAGGCCCTCTAATCTTTTTCTTTACTAAACGATTAATGCTTTAGCACCCGCACTACGCTCCCCCCTTCCTGCGGAGGATGGGCGCGCATGCAGGAGCTACGCGTATGCGCCTTGCTGCTTTAGCGTGCGCGCTGCCAAAGCAAGATAGGAAGAGGGGCTTTATACTCCGAGCTTTGGAGAAGCTAAAGCAGAAGAGGAGCTGAAATGAAATGAATGGCTGAAAATAATTCTCCCTTTCTGAGGGGTGTGCCCCTCCCCCGCCTCTCCTAGCAGGATCGCTCCGCTACCACGACTGCTTCCGCAGTCGTGGTAGCGCGCTAAAGCAATGCTGCGCAAGGTAGGGGGCTTTAGGCCTTCGGACTGAAGGGTTCCAGCTAGGGAGGGAAGGGAAACCGCGACAGCGGGGCCCGCTTTGCTCCTAATATGCTTCCTTGCGTCCAGGGGGTGCAGTCCTCCGCAGGAAGGAGGAGGGCAAGGGAGGACTGTCATAGTTATTCATCACTTCCCTCTATCAAAGCTATATAAGGTACAACCATAATAGACTTCGTCCCCTTTAGCTGAAAAGCTAATTGAATAAATTTGCTATAAGCTGGAAACTCTTAATGCTTTTAGGTACGTTTAATTATTGATTCACTGCTCCGGCTATCCACCCTCAGATCTGCGGCTCGCAACGATTACGATCCTTCCTTCCCCTGCCCAGCGCCTTCACCGCTCCAAGAAACCTTTACCCTGCGGTCCCTAGTCCTAGGATCCTGCGCAGCCCCTTAGCTCAGCCAGCTGAGCGGTCCGCTAGTCGTCTGGTGTGGGTTAGGGTCGCATAGTACCTGCAGACCCCTCCTGCTTTAGCTGTGCAACGAAGGCGCAGCGCGACGCTGTCGTCCTGCGGAGGTGCTAAAGCATCCTTCGGTCGGCGCATGAAAAGCATGCGCAGCTCCCTCCCTCCGGTGCAGGGGAGCTAATGCTCTGAAGGCTAGGGATGCTTCGCCCCTGCCCACCTTTAAGGGCAAGGGTGGGAGCGAAGTGCTGGACGCGGAGCGCGTCAGGGTAACGCGAAGCAGCCCTGCCCCCAAAACCAAGAACCAAATAATCAAGAACCAAGCAGTGTTGCTCGCGCTCCGCCCCTGCGGAGACGCTGCTTTAATATCCGTGAAAAACCTAAAATTCCTTTTTTTATTATTAGCGCGGGTGAGCACCGAGCCTTTCGGGACCGGAGACTAATATATAAAAGTAAAAGACAATCAGCAGGAAACCTAATCCTCAGAGAATATACGCAAAAAATTTCACTTAATTTCTCGTGCAAGACAAAGCACAGACACTAGATATGGATGATTATATAATCCAACCCCTTACTATACAAGGGTAACCCCTCCACGCCTTCTACTCCGCAGTTGCGGGCCGCCAGCAGGAGTAGTAAAGGAAGTAATTAGCCCTACATTAACAATTAAAGTAGTGGGACACCAGTGGTTCTGATCTTATGAGCTTTCTGATTTTGTTACTGATAGTGGTACTGCTATAGATTTTGATTCTTACATGATACCTGAAGATTCTCTACAATTAGGGGATTTTAGATTATTAGATGTTGATAATAGATTAGTAGTACCCGCTGATTGTCACATCAGACTAATTATTACTTCTACTGATGTTCTACATTCATTTGCTGTTCCATCTTTAGGTGTTAAATTAGATGCTTGTCCTGGTCGTTTAAATCAAGTATCTTTCTTAGCTGAAAGAACTGGAGTATTTTACGGTCTCTGAATTTATTGGCCGTAACTGTAGTGAACCTACGGTTTTAAAACCATCAAATTGCGGGAAACCCTTAAAGAAATCTTAACCAAGTAAGTATGGTAACATAACTTATGGCACAGGTAATGACTCGTGGTATGGTAAAATCAAGATTTATAAATAAAATGGGCAATCCGCAGCCAAGTACCTAATTAATAGGTATGCTGTTCATCGACTAAACGGTGGTTGGTATTATCGCAAGCCAAGGCAGCGCTTGTTATAATGCTTAAAATATAGTCAGACCCCTCTTGAAAAGGAGCAGGAAAATTAATTATTTTCTGTTAAATGGATATATTAATTACATATTCAGGGATAAATCTCTACAATAATTTGTTAAACTAATACTCACCCTGGCGAAGCAGGGAGGGCTGCCGCTGCCCTCCTTCTCCCTGCTTTAGCAGGGCGGGAAAGCAGAGCAGCGACTGCTTTAGAGCGCGCCGGCCAGCCCCACCTCGGTCATGTTTTTAGCTCGGCCCTGCTGCGCACTGCGGTCCGCAGGCGCGGATGGACTCCTGCTTCTGCTTAAGCATCCACCCTCGCCCCGCTAAAGCAGGGAGAAGGCGCTAAGCAGAAGGGACGGAGTGGCAAGGAGAGCGGACTGCTTTAGAAAAATACAACAGAATTTTTATTAAGACATGAGTTATTGAAGAGAAATGTTTTAATCTTTTTTCACAGTCAAAAGAGGTTGCTATTTCGGGGTAAAACCTGATATGAAAAGCAGGCGCTTTGCGAGAAAAATCTTCTATTTTGAGTTAAAGAGAAAAAATCTAAATTTTAATTCTAAGTGTCCGCACACTAACTAATATGTACCTATTAAAAATTAAAAACAAAATAAAGTACTATTAAAATAAAGAATTGAACATTTTATTATTCATTTCATAATAAACTTATGGATTTCATTAATGATGAAAGTTTGAATAATATATTAATTATAAAGTTTCATTACTTATAATTTATGCTCGTTTCAGTTATAGAAATAAATTTATTTCTTGGCTGGCTGATAACCCCCGCGCTGCTGCTTTACTCGCCGAGGAGCTCTCACGCACCCCCGCTTCGCTACCGTCCACTGTCCGCAATTCGCTACCTGTAAGCGAAGCAGAGCAGCGCCTGCTCCTTTACCTTCCTCGCAAGGCGGATGCTAGAATGCGCCCGCCCTGCTCCGCGGGGTGCTAAAGCAGTACTCCGAACCAGCCAAGCAGCTTCGCCAGAAGCGTGCGTAGCACGGGACCGCTGCGCAGTATAAGGTACGCACGCTTCACTCCCGCCTTCCTGCGGAGGATGGCCGCGCCCTGCTGGCGGGACAGCAAGCCCCACTGCTCCGCAGTACGCAGGAGGCTAATTCAGGGACGAGGCTCCAGTCCCGGCTCCGCAGGAAGGAGGAGCGCAATAAAGCAGGGCGCAGTACCGGTGCACAAACAAAGTTTATATTATTACCTCCTTAAAGGTTGAGGATATTTTATTAACTTTAAATAATTGTAGAGGTAATAGCAATGTTCAGAACTATGTGGAGTATACCATGGATTTGTGGCTGAGTTCATGAAAAATAAAACTATTTGCTGAAAAATTAATATTATATTTAAGATACTATATTAAAAACTATATTAAAGTTAAATTAGTTAAAAATTTTAAATAATTAATAATCAGCAGGAAATATATCAACTTATAAATTTCCTCAGAGACTTTACGTTTTAAATAATTATATGATTATTAAGATAAAAACCAAAATTTATAATAAAATTAGCACGCGCTCCGCTACGCTCCGCCGCCGGCGCGGCGCGCTCCTTCGCTCGCCGCTGGGCGGACTACACGCGCAGCGCCTTCCTCCGAAGGTTGCTAAAGCAGAGCAGCGACTCCCTCGCTCCGCTTCACGCGCAGCTCCGCCCCTGGGAAGCTGGGCGACCGGCGTACGGAGCTGGCAGGGGTGTGTGCGCAGGCCGCAGTGCGCAGCTGCGAAGCGCGGCGCGGAGGGTGTGGGCGCGGACTCCGAACTGCTGTACGCAGGAGCGGTGCAAGATATTTTTAATATTAATAGCTCTGAATAGAGTTCCTTTTAGACAGGCATACCTTAGTATTAAAAAATAAAGCGCGAGCGCCCGCGCCGCCCTGCACGCAGTGCGCGCAGTGCTCGCACGCAGCTGCGCAGGCGCGCAGCAGCACTGCGCGGCGCAGCGCCTGCAGCAGCAGCGCGGAGCGTGCTGGCGCTCGCGCTTTATTTTTTTAATACTAAGGTATGCCTGTCTAAAAGGACTCTATTCAGAGCTATTAATATTAAAAATATCTTGCACCGCTCCTGCGTACAGCAGTTCGGAGTCCGCGCCCACACCCTCCGCGCCGCGCTTCGCAGCTGCGCACTGCGGCCTGCGCACACACCCCTGCCAGCTCCGTACGCCGGTCGCCCAGCTTCCCAGGGGCGGAGCTGCGCGTGAAGCGGAGCGAGGGAGTCGCTGCTCTGCTTTAGCAACCTTCGGAGGAAGGCGCTGCGCGTGTAGTCCGCCCAGCGGCGAGCGAAGGAGCGCGCCGCGCCGGCGGCGGAGCGTAGCGGAGCGCGTGCTAATTTTATTATAAATTTTGGTTTTTATCTTAATAATCATATAATTATTTAAAACGTAAAGTCTCTGAGGAAATTTATAAGTTGATATATTTCCTGCTGATTATTAATTATTTAAAATTTTTAACTAATTTAACTTTAATATAGTTTTTAATATAGTATCTTAAATATAATATTAATTTTTCAGCAAATAGTTTTATTTTTCATGAACTCAGCCACAAATCCATGGTATACTCCACATAGTTCTGAACATTGCTATTACCTCTACAATTATTTAAAGTTAATAAAATATCCTCAACCTTTAAGGAGGTAATAATATAAACTTTGTTTGTGCACCGGTACTGCGCCCTGCTTTATTGCGCTCCTCCTTCCTGCGGAGCCGGGACTGGAGCCTCGTCCCTGAATTAGCCTCCTGCGTACTGCGGAGCAGTGGGGCTTGCTGTCCCGCCAGCAGGGCGCGGCCATCCTCCGCAGGAAGGCGGGAGTGAAGCGTGCGTACCTTATACTGCGCAGCGGTCCCGTGCTACGCACGCTTCTGGCGAAGCTGCTTGGCTGGTTCGGAGTACTGCTTTAGCACCCCGCGGAGCAGGGCGGGCGCATTCTAGCATCCGCCTTGCGAGGAAGGTAAAGGAGCAGGCGCTGCTCTGCTTCGCTTACAGGTAGCGAATTGCGGACAGTGGACGGTAGCGAAGCGGGGGTGCGTGAGAGCTCCTCGGCGAGTAAAGCAGCAGCGCGGGGGTTATCAGCCAGCCAAGAAATAAATTTATTTCTATAACTGAAACGAGCATAAATTATAAGTAATGAAACTTTATAATTAATATATTATTCAAACTTTCATCATTAATGAAATCCATAAGTTTATTATGAAATGAATAATAAAATGTTCAATTCTTTATTTTAATAGTACTTTATTTTGTTTTTAATTTTTAATAGGTACATATTAGTTAGTGTGCGGACACTTAGAATTAAAATTTAGATTTTTTCTCTTTAACTCAAAATAGAAGATTTTTCTCGCAAAGCGCCTGCTTTTCATATCAGGTTTTACCCCGAAATAGCAACCTCTTTTGACTGTGAAAAAAGATTAAAACATTTCTCTTCAATAACTCATGTCTTAATAAAAATTCTGTTGTATTTTTCTAAAGCAGTCCGCTCTCCTTGCCACTCCGTCCCTTCTGCTTAGCGCCTTCTCCCTGCTTTAGCGGGGCGAGGGTGGATGCTTAAGCAGAAGCAGGAGTCCATCCGCGCCTGCGGACCGCAGTGCGCAGCAGGGCCGAGCTAAAAACATGACCGAGGTGGGGCTGGCCGGCGCGCTCTAAAGCAGTCGCTGCTCTGCTTTCCCGCCCTGCTAAAGCAGGGAGAAGGAGGGCAGCGGCAGCCCTCCCTGCTTCGCCAGGGTGAGTATTAGTTTAACAAATTATTGTAGAGATTTATCCCTGAATATGTAATTAATATATCCATTTAACAGAAAATAATTAATTTTCCTGCTCCTTTTCAAGAGGGGTCTGACTATATTTTAAGCATTATAACAAGCGCTGCCTTGGCTTGCGATAATACCAACCACCGTTTAGTCGATGAACAGCATACCTATTAATTAGGTACTTGGCTGCGGATTGCCCATTTTATTTATAAATCTTGATTTTACCATACCACGAGTCATTACCTGTGCCATAAGTTATGTTACCATACTTACTTGGTTAAGATTTCTTTAAGGGTTTCCCGCAATTTGATGGTTTTAAAACCGTAGGTTCACTACAGTTACGGCCAATAAATTCAGAGACCGTAAAATACTCCAGTTCTTTCAGCTAAGAAAGATACTTGATTTAAACGACCAGGACAAGCATCTAATTTAACACCTAAAGATGGAACAGCAAATGAATGTAGAACATCAGTAGAAGTAATAATTAGTCTGATGTGACAATCAGCGGGTACTACTAATCTATTATCAACATCTAATAATCTAAAATCCCCTAATTGTAGAGAATCTTCAGGTATCATGTAAGAATCAAAATCTATAGCAGTACCACTATCAGTAACAAAATCAGAAAGCTCATAAGATCAGAACCACTGGTGTCCCACTACTTTAATTGTTAATGTAGGGCTAATTACTTCCTTTACTACTCCTGCTGGCGGCCCGCAACTGCGGAGTAGAAGGCGTGGAGGGGTTACCCTTGTATAGTAAGGGGTTGGATTATATAATCATCCATATCTAGTGTCTGTGCTTTGTCTTGCACGAGAAATTAAGTGAAATTTTTTGCGTATATTCTCTGAGGATTAGGTTTCCTGCTGATTGTCTTTTACTTTTATATATTAGTCTCCGGTCCCGAAAGGCTCGGTGCTCACCCGCGCTAATAATAAAAAAAGGAATTTTAGGTTTTTCACGGATATTAAAGCAGCGTCTCCGCAGGGGCGGAGCGCGAGCAACACTGCTTGGTTCTTGATTATTTGGTTCTTGGTTTTGGGGGCAGGGCTGCTTCGCGTTACCCTGACGCGCTCCGCGTCCAGCACTTCGCTCCCACCCTTGCCCTTAAAGGTGGGCAGGGGCGAAGCATCCCTAGCCTTCAGAGCATTAGCTCCCCTGCACCGGAGGGAGGGAGCTGCGCATGCTTTTCATGCGCCGACCGAAGGATGCTTTAGCACCTCCGCAGGACGACAGCGTCGCGCTGCGCCTTCGTTGCACAGCTAAAGCAGGAGGGGTCTGCAGGTACTATGCGACCCTAACCCACACCAGACGACTAGCGGACCGCTCAGCTGGCTGAGCTAAGGGGCTGCGCAGGATCCTAGGACTAGGGACCGCAGGGTAAAGGTTTCTTGGAGCGGTGAAGGCGCTGGGCAGGGGAAGGAAGGATCGTAATCGTTGCGAGCCGCAGATCTGAGGGTGGATAGCCGGAGCAGTGAATCAATAATTAAACGTACCTAAAAGCATTAAGAGTTTCCAGCTTATAGCAAATTTATTCAATTAGCTTTTCAGCTAAAGGGGACGAAGTCTATTATGGTTGTACCTTATATAGCTTTGATAGAGGGAAGTGATGAATAACTATGACAGTCCTCCCTTGCCCTCCTCCTTCCTGCGGAGGACTGCACCCCCTGGACGCAAGGAAGCATATTAGGAGCAAAGCGGGCCCCGCTGTCGCGGTTTCCCTTCCCTCCCTAGCTGGAACCCTTCAGTCCGAAGGCCTAAAGCCCCCTACCTTGCGCAGCATTGCTTTAGCGCGCTACCACGACTGCGGAAGCAGTCGTGGTAGCGGAGCGATCCTGCTAGGAGAGGCGGGGGAGGGGCACACCCCTCAGAAAGGGAGAATTATTTTCAGCCATTCATTTCATTTCAGCTCCTCTTCTGCTTTAGCTTCTCCAAAGCTCGGAGTATAAAGCCCCTCTTCCTATCTTGCTTTGGCAGCGCGCACGCTAAAGCAGCAAGGCGCATACGCGTAGCTCCTGCATGCGCGCCCATCCTCCGCAGGAAGGGGGGAGCGTAGTGCGGGTGCTAAAGCATTAATCGTTTAGTAAAGAAAAAGATTAGAGGGCCTGTTACGGCTAAACTCAGGTATTGACCTTGAACATCCATTAAATATAATAGTTTAAATGAAGGGAAAGCAATTGCCATTAATATTAATGCAGGAGTAATAGTTCAAATTAACTCTAAAATTGTACCGTGTGTTAAATATTTATAGGCTATAGGATTTTTTTTTATTATAGTAATAATTTAATGAAAAAAGTACTCAAAAAACAGATAAACTAATAACTATTAAAAAAAAACCAATTTTATTATGTAAATCAACTAACCCTGAAAATACTGGTGAAGCACTATCTTGAAAAAATAATTGTCAAGGTTGAGCAGCATCATTAAGTATTCCATTTAAAAATATAAATAGATGGTCCATTTTTAAATTTAATTCTTGTCTTTCTTTATTTACCATTTTTTTCTAATAAAATAAGGCAATACTGCTTGGCGAAGCACCGCTGCAGCCATCCGCACCCTCCCCCTTATGGGGTTCCAACCACAGAGCAGGAGTACTGCTAAGTATAGCCTCGCTGCAGGCGCGTAGCTCCTGCATGCGCGCCCATCCTCCGCAGTCGCGAAGCGCGGCGGGAGCGAAGCGCGAGTGAGGGAAAGGAGCTCTGCAGAACCGGCTGGTAGGTTTGTGAATCGCTCGCTTAGATCTGGTATGCTAAAGCAGAACTACCTTTCTGCGCCGCAGTCGCTGCTCCGAACCCGCTGTGCGGGGTGCAGCAAAAGTACCAAAAGTAATCATTCATTTAAATCAAAACAGCTAAAGCACTCCTGCGGCCTGCGGGGGGGTGCTAAAGCAGTGAGCCATTTTCAAGTTAGTCCTTCCGCTCCGCGCCTGCGGACCGCTGCAGGGGAGAGCACCTCCGCCTGCGGAGAGTCGTAGTAGCGCGCGCCTCTTTAGCGGCGCTCCGCAGTCCACCCTAAGGGGGAGGGGGGAGGGGCGCAGCGGTTCATCCGCAGGAGGCGGCGAGCGGAGCGTAACTTAAAAAAAGGCTAATAGGCTAAATAGTATGTATATTTGAGTGTCTTTTAATACAATCCGCAGTGCGCAGCAGCGAAGCGTTAGCTCCAACCAGTTTGCTCAAACGGACTGTGGCGCAGGAGGCAAGCAGGGGCCTATTCTTTTTTTTAGAAAGCGTATAAAGTTTTTTTCTTATAAAATAAATAACTGAGTATTCCTGGTTTACTTCAGTTTAGTAGGGTATTTTTTTAATAAAGGGCTGAAAAAAATAATAAACTTCTACCGAACGGAAAAATCTAAAGTTGGAAACAGGTAAAACATTCACAGGAGCCCCCCCCCGTTTATGTGCTTGCTGCCCTCCGCAGGCCTCTCTCCGCAGGAGACGGGGGGGGAAATATGACTGTCCGCACCGAGAGCATGCTCCTGCGTAAAAGGGGCCTGTTAGTTGTTAACTGTTAGCACCTGAAGACGGCTTGCTGTTCTTTAATAAATTTTTATTTTCCAGCTGTCAGCCAGCTCCGCTTGCTGCTTTAGCATCCTACGCCTGCGGATGAAGGCGCGACAGCTTCGCCTGGTAAGGGAAGGGCTAAAGCGCTGCAGTGCTTCGCTGGGAGCAAGCTGCGCACGGTACGCTGCTTTAGCAAACCTGCGGAGCGGAGGACTGCTTTAGCACAGTAGGCCTCATGCGCGTAGCTCCTGCATGCGCGCCCATCCTCCGCAGTCGCGAAGCGCGGCGGGAGCGTAGTGCATGATATAACAAGGCTACACGTCAACTTGAGAACGATAAACAGTTGAGGGGTACCTCTTAACCTTTTTGTATAGCTTGTTATTAAATTTAATTTAAACCCTAATTTTAGTTGCGACTAGTGTGTAGTATAGTATTATTTAATTTTAATAAGTACTTAAAATATAAAAAATAGCGCAACTGGCACAGCAGTGCTCGAGGAGTGGGGGAGCTTCACCGGGTCAAAGCAAAGTATCATCCGTACTGATTTAGCGCGCAGCGGGGATTACCTCGTCTGCGTAGCAGTGTTGTGCTTCGCTCCCGCCGCGCTTCGCGACTGCGGAGGATGGCCGCGCTAAAGCAGGAGGTGTGTATTTACAGAGCGAGATATACGGCCGGATATTCGCACCTGCGGACTGCTACAGCTTCTATTGTGGAAGGCTGGGCGGATAGTAGCGGTGGAGTAACGATCCTCGCCTAGTGCTCCGCGAGCGCAAGGAGGGGTGCACAGCTTCGCTCCACAGTCCCGGCTACGCAGAGGGGTGGTAGCATGCGCTTCTGCGCGCGCTTCGCGTTGCTGCCTGACCGATGGTGGTGAGCTTCCAGCTGAAACGGAGAGCGGAAGGGTGCTCAGCCTGGTATTTAGTTGACTACCGTAATTTATTGTACCTGTAATTAATAGGATAGACGCGGCTCGAACGCGCAATAGCTCTCACTCCCAAAGTGAGCGACTTTCCAATTTGTCCTCTATCCTACATTCCTTTCACTCAACTACTACTACACTACCCTCCTCCCCACGCTCCCTCTTTGCTCCGCAGGAGCGCCTGCTGGGGTCGCGAAACGCGAGCAGGAGCGTGGTAAAGCAGAAGCAGCTTGCGGCCTGCGGAGCTAAGGTAAAGGGCGGAGGGCAAGAAGTGCTACCCTCCGCTAGCGCTGCAGTAACGTACGTTGCGCGCAAGCGCTCTCGACCCTACGGTTGCGTTATTTTTTTTTTGCTATACTTCTTCTTTTAAAAATATTTTACAACTACAATTAATTGAAAATACATGCGGAGCCCTCCTGGTTCAAGTGGATCCTTTCCTTAAATACCTGGGAGTTACGCGCTTCGCTCCTGCGGGCCGCAGCACTGCGGCCTGCTGCGGACGTTATGTAGTCTGCTAGGTTCGGTTGGCGCAGGCCGGACACCTTGCGGAGGACTAAGGGGACGCTGTGGTGGACAGATAAAGCAGTCCGCCTTGCACCTCCACCCCTGCGAGGGAGGGCTACTGCATTAGCTTAAGCTTGCGGGGCGGTCCTTCCGCAATGCCGTAACCGTAGGCAGCAAGGTCCGGATTATAGCCTGCGGCCGCAGGAGCGAAGCGCGCGCTGCGGTGCAGAAAAAGGAGGAAGGAGTCGCTGCTTTAGCATCCTGCTGTGTTTCCCTTGCATGCGATGCGCCTCGCCAGGTAAGCGCTGCGCGTGTATTACTGCCTACCTATCAAGAGTGGCCCCCTTGTTTTGTTTTTGCCAAATAACTATAACCTGAAATTAATAACCAAATTCTAATTTCTTTTCTATTATTCTGACTTTAATTGATAAGATCTCCCACTCTATAGTGCAACTTCACCTCATTTCTTACACAGTACTGATTCTCTCCGCAGTAACATAAAGCATGAGTGCGCAATGAGAGGAGAGGGGTCGAAAGTTGCACCCTTCGGCACGCGCTACGCTCACTTCGAGATTGCGGAGCGGGCGGAGAGGAGAATTTGGCGCACCGGTGGTCTGCTTCGCACCTCTTCGGATGCGCCCCGCCACCTTCTGACTAGCCGCACCCTTTTCGGAGCCGTACCGACGACCTCTACCTGCTGAGCGCATAGTTGTGCTTCTAAAAGGGAGCCGCCTTCCAGCTCCCCTCATTCAGGGGGGGTGCTTAGGCGAAATCTAGCTCGCGATTTGCGACTGCGTAGCCCTGGATGTAAGGCTAAAGGGATCCCCTGCTGAGAGGTGTCCCTGCAGGTCTAAATTTACTCGCACTAAATGTTATGTTCTCTTACGGTTCACAACCCTCAGTCTGCTTTAGCTGGAGCGCGCGCATCTATAAGGGAGCAAACTTGACTTCGCTGGGTGCAAGGTTACGCGATGCCTTGAACGGTCTGTGATTAATTTTCTCCGCTATCAGTCTGCACGGGGGAGGGGTGGCAGGCCAGCGGAGCGAGTGGACAATTAAACACCTTAATGGACTTGAACCAATATTCTTTCGTTTCGAAGACGAACGCTTTGCCAATTCAGCTAAAAGTGTAATTTAAAAAGGAGTAAATAACTAAAGAAAGGTTTACCCTCTCGCCCCGCAGTCTGCGCAGGTAGCTAAATCAGTCCTCCGATACATGGAGGCGCGTACCTCCTGTACCACTCCGCGTCCCCCTCCAGCAGTGCTAAAGCAGAACCCGAGCGCCGCTAAAGCAGCGAGGGGCTGCGCACCTTGCGCGTAGGTCACATGCACCCTGCGGATCTTGTGTAGCATGAGCTAAAGCAGCAAGCCATGCATGCGAAAGAGACCCTTCAAGGAGGGTTTGCAAGCGAGGCTGTCCATAGGTGACACGCGCAGCGCCTTCTCCCTGCTTTAGCAGGGCGGAGAAGCAGAGCAGCGACTGCTTTAGCACTGCTAGATCACCTTCTCGTCCCTGCTTTAGCTGGAGCAGCTGAATATTAGAATTTTCTAAATATAATTTCTGTATAACATTAAATTATATTTAAAGGGGTAAAAAAATTAAATTTTTGTTTCTTAAAGGGGAGGAAGCCCCGCAGCGCTGTCACAGTTACGAGGATGCTAAAGCAGAGGGTGGAACTGGAACTAACGGGTAAACCAGCTCGCTGGTTTGCTGATTACGACAGGGCGCAGTGCTGCGGGCCGCAGTGCTGCGCCGCGAAGCGCGAATGTTGGAGGGGCAAGCTGCTGCTTACAAGGCTAGGTGCTGCGAAGCAGAAAGAGCCTTGCTGTGCAGCGGCTTCAAAACGTCCTACTCCCTACGGCGCAAGCGCTCCTCGATCGCCTGTTGGCGAAGTACGCGGAGCGCGGATACGGTACGCAGTAGAGTAGCAGCTAAAGCTGCGGGGAAGTGCAGCTAGCCCCCTGTTAAACCTGCAGTGGCGAAGGCCAAATATTATTTAGAGTTTTTAATTAATTTAGTAATGTATAGTCTAATCATTTGAGTATATGTGAAAGAAGGTAAAATATATTTAGCAAAAATATATACTAAAATAGCTAATACTAGAAATGAAGATAATAACTGATTGAAGAAAAAAAACGGAACTAGTTGAGGCATTTTATTTTTATTTTTAATTTATAGTTCTATTATTTTTTTAAGAACCTACCTCTACGCACTGCTTCGCGCGCACGCCTGCGGAGGAGGGTGCTAAAGCAATCCTTCGGTGGTTGCGCAAGAGGCAACCCTGCGCTACGCACTAAAAAGCTAAAGTAACCTTTTAGCTCTGACGTGGATACGCTGTCTGGCTTTCCGTCTCCTCGCCCCTAAACGAGGGTTGGCCTGACCTTCCCCTTAGCGACCCTCCTGCAGCGCCCTCCGGACCAAACCCTGCGGCCGCAGGAGCGAAGCGCGCGCGCGGAGTGGGGGAGAGCACTGCTACCTCCCCTCAAGGAACGCTCTTGGGTGGGGAAGCAAGGGTTCGCGGTTGCTGCTGTGGTTTAGTCACCTCCCTGAAGGACTGTTTAGCAGGACTGTACGGCTGTCAACCTTCGCTTGGTTCAGACCAGGGGTGGTTATCCGCAGTATGCTAATGCAGTTGCCACCTCTGCGCGCTGCAGGGCGGATGCAAGAAATAGGCGGGGGAGCAAGCAGGTCGAGGGGCAGGCAGTGAGGACTGATGGACCGCTGTCTGGGTTATCGATAACCATTTACCCGCGGAGCACTAAAGGAGTCCGCAAGGGAGCAGGGCTGCTTCGTGTCGGAGAGGTGTGCTGGATTGCGATGCCGACTGCGGAGCGCATTTTTTTTGATAGTAGTTATTCGGGACTACTACTAAGGATTAGGAGTCATGCTTGAGGTAATAAGGGTTTCTAATGAATTTATTAGATATAATGATTATGAAACCTGCGAGCAACCGTATTACTGCTTTTGGGGTTTCGCTCGGTACGCAGGGCGCATCATCCGAGAGCCCTGCATCACGAAGCGGTGCTAAAGCAAAAACGCGAGGAGGGAGAGGGCGTCGCAGTCCCGGCTCCGTACTCGCAAAGAGCACCCCTTGCTAAATCAGAGTATGTACGCAGTGGAAAAGCAGGAGTGCAACGCTCCCACTGCTAAAGCAAGGCGCTAAAGCAGCACTCCCTGTCTACGAAGGCACGACGGGTACTGTAGTTTTATCAGCGTCCTCCTACATTCGCTTAGCTTCCGGATCCTTCTTGATCTCGTACGTAGAGTTTCACTTGCAGTACGAAGCAGACAGCTCTCGCGCTTCGCGACCGAAGGAGGCGCCGTTTAACTTGAGTTATTCCCCACCCCTAAACCGCTCGCGCTTTGCTCGCTACGCACGCTACGCAGGGCGCATGCTTTAGCACGCGCTCCTTACGCTCCGCAGGACGCTTGCGGAGAGGAGCCGGCCAAGCATCTAGCAGCAGGGCACTGACTACTACGTTAATAATTGTTAGTTTAAGAATTTTAAATCTTCCTTTTAAATTTATTTAAGAATTTATACTTTTTTTCCCAGTTAAAATTTTACATTACATAAATATTGACCACCTCTCCATCGCCACACTTCGCAGCGGACTGGTTCGCAGAGGGAGCTTCGAGTCCTTCGGATAACCAGGTAAGGAATACAGGCTCCCTCTCTGCTTTAGCCCTTCGGTTGCGCTGCAGTCCGCAGGGGAGGGGGGGGGGGGGGGCTCCTCTAGCTAAAGCGAAATTTGTGAAGCAGGAGGAACGCTCTGGCATCCTTACGTTCTGCAGCCTAGCTTGGACTAGTTTACTTCCTTACGTAGATCCTCAAGAGCTGTACGGAAACATGGTAGATCTCCGATGAGTCTAAAGTTGCTGCTCTCAGCAGGGCGAGTGGAGCGTAGCGAGCGTAAGACAAGGAGCTAGGGGTACGCTAGCTAATCAACAGGACCGCACACCGTGCTTGATATGTGACAGCTCACCTAGCGCAAGCCTACGTTTGCCGACGGTAGCTTCTTACCCTCCCCCTCTCGGGGTGGAAACGGAACAAGCGGAGGACCCGAAGCTGCTGAGTGTAGTATAGAAGTGAAATACTTCATGTACAGAGAGAAGCCACCCTCCTAATACATAAATTAAATCGTATTTAAGGTTAACCTTACTAAGCTGACCTGGTTTAAAGGAGGTATTTTTCTCCGCAGGGCGCAGGAGCGAAGCGCGAGAGCACCAGCCTTCTCTGCAGGACTGCTCTCCACCTTTAGCCCCGCTGCTTCTCGTAAGTTTTACCTCGGCGTACTGATGTAGGACAGTTAGGCCCAATTTACTGGTAGCTAAAATATGTATGAAGGTAAACCGACCGTTGCATCCGCGCAACCACGCAGGCGCGCGGTCCTCGTCACCCCTGGATGAGAGTTTAGCGGCACAGCCTTCATGCCAGAGAGGCCAAGGTGTACCACCCCCCCCCCCCCGCGGTTGAAGGCTAAGTTCCATTCGCTCTCGCTGCTCTGCTTCGCTTGCTTCTGATAAAACTCCGCTCTGCGAGCGCCGCCCATGCTGCTTTAGCTCAGTCCTGCTGGCGCTTTGCCTCTGCGCCCTGCGGAAAAGGAGGCGGCAGCTGTCCGCCCAGCAAGCTAAAGCAGTCGCTGCTCTCACGTAGCGCGCTGCGTGTGCGAACCTTGGCGAGTAAAGCTGCAACGCGAACGGAGGGGAGCGTACACGACCTACGCTCCTAGGTCGCAGAGGGGGAGAAGGACACGCGGACTGCGACAACTCCCTACCCCGCGTTGGGCGGGGGGGGGGGGGGGGGGGGGCTTCGTAGCAGCGACTGCTTCTCTTCTACCCTCCAACAGTGCTAAAGCAGAGAGGGGAAGGGTAGAAACCATCAGCGGTAATATAATCATTTCTTTAGCCAAGAGTCAGCATTCCAATAAAATTATAGAACTCCTCGCGTATTGCAACTCCTTTACCTTTAGTGCTTTAGCTCTCGCAGTCGAAAGTTCGAGCTTCGGCCTCCCCAGTCTCCTGCGGAGAGTACCCCTGCGGAGAAAGAGTCCAAAGGGGGTAAGGTAATTTTTTATATTAATTATCGTTCCGGCGCAGCACTGCCCCCCCCTGTCAGGGTTAAATTTTAGGTTATCAGGGTTCGCTGCTTTAGCTGTGCAGGGTCGGCCTGCTTCGTTCCAGGGCTAGCAGGGCTCAGTTTGGGGAAGCATCGGGCTCCGCTCGGGTGAGTCCAGGTAAGCACTCTCGTACTGCCGGGAGCCTGCGGAGGCTAGTTAATAGGAAAAAAAATTTTTTTCCTATTGACAACCTCAAATATAAACTACAATAAATAAAAATAATCAAACTACATCTACAAAATGCCAATAAGCAATAGCAGATTCTAAACCAACATGGTGAGCTGAAGTAGAATGATATGAATAGATTCTAACTGTACTATATATTAAAAATAAAGTACCTACTATTACGTGGAACCCATGTAGCCCTGTAGAAGCGAAAAATACTGTACCAAAAACACTATCTGCAAAAGAGAATGATGCTTCACTATATTCAATTGCCTGATAATAAGTAAATAATAAGGCTAAGAAGATAGTAACAAAAGAACCGTCAAGTGTTGTTTTTCTAACTCTCCCTATTAAAGAGTGGTGGGCTAATGTAATATAGGCACCAGAAGATAATAATATAACTGTATTAGTTAAAGGTAAACCAAATGAGTTTAGAGTAGTTAAACCGAAAGGAGGTCAAATTCCTCCTATTTCAACTGCAGGTGAAAGAGCTGAGTGAAAAAATCCTCAAAATACAGAAAAAAAAGCAAATGCTTCAGAAATAATAAATAATAAAAATCCTATAGAAATACCGTTTCTAACCTTTTTAGTGTGATCCCCTAAAAAAGTCCCTTCTGTTACAATATCTCTAAATCAAAGTCCCATACCAAAAATAGTAACGATTAATCCTAAAGTAATCACACTACCTCCGTGATTAAATCCGTGAAAATATAAAACGGCTCCAATAGCTAAATTAAATAATGAAAAACTTAATAAGATAGGCCAAGGTGATTTTGTTACTAAATGGAAACCGTAGTTTTGAAATTGTCTCTCTTTAGCTTTCAAGGCATGCGTAGTATACGAAGCCTGTGTTTTAGTCACCGCAGTTGCTGCAAGCGCTTCGCGATCGTAGGGCACGAAGCTCGCGCTCCGCGGACTCAGAGTAGTTTTTATATTTTTATTCATGTTTTTCTCCTGTTCTGTCCTGTTTGTTTACTTTTTTTTAGAAGTAAAACTTTAATTTAAAATTGAAATCTTCTTTTTTATTAATCTGCGCTGCGCAGCCCTCCCTTGCCCTTAAGTCGCGAAGCGCGGGAGGGCGGCGGTGGCTCGCTCGCTCTCGCATTCGGACCGCAGGGCTGAACCCTTCGGAGGCCCCGCAGCTCGCCCTCCAGAATCGCTCCGCTGGTGTCGCGAAGCGCGGCGAGGGGTACACAGGCGCGCAGCGGGTTCGGAGCAGCGACTGCTTTACATTGCTGGCGTAAACCGCGAGAGAAGGCGGGACGCTGCGTCTACGATGCCTCGCTAGCAGGGGGTGCATGCGGGCTTCGGTGCGTGCTAAAGCAGCGCGAGCGCGCGCGAGCTTGCAAGGTAAGTTTCGCGGTAAAAAGCTTAGGGGTTCGAATCAACCTGTAACCCGCTTGGTTTGCAATACTAAATATTAGCCCTATAATTCGGTCTTTATTCCTGCCTGCTTTTGAACCTTTGCTTTAGCATCCTGCCGACAACATCTTTCGGATTAAGTGCACTCGGAGCGTAGCTGCTCGAAACCATCTCTGCAGTGAGGGAGTGTAAGCTTAGGTAGCTAGCTTCCAGCCTTATCGAAGACTTTCCTATCCTAATCGCAGTGCATCGCGCGGTCCGAAGCCCCCCCCCTCCGACTTTTGGAAGGGGACAGTCGGCTTACGCCGTTTGCAGGGGGCGCTCCGCAGGGGCGCCTTTCGTACCCTGCGTGCTAAAGCAGGGCTGCTTTAGCATCTTGACGAGCTCCGCACGCGCTTCGCGGTCGCAGGTCGCGGATGAAGGGAGAACTGCAGCAGTCCAGGTACACGGAAGGAGTGACTCCGCACCGCGGCGCGTCGCCTGCGGAGCGTCGCTAATTATGCTGCACCCGAAGGTGTGCAGCGTTATTATAAATTTTAATTTAAGATAGCTAGATTTTTTTTAGTATCCTTATAAAAAGACAGTTAGTGGTGACATTGTTATTTTTTCTTCATTTTAGGTAAAAGTCTCTCTGATTTTTAAAACCCGTCCTTGCGTAGCGCGTAGCGGTAATGAGAGGTACTACTCCCCTCTCACCCCTACATCGCTGCTTTTCCTCATCGCGCCCTCCGCAGGCCGAGCACAGTACTCTGCACCTGCGGACTGTTGCACCCTCTCGGCCTCCCCTCCTCCTCCTGCGGACAGCAGCGCGCCTGCGGACTGCGGAGCGACCCTTGCGGAGCGCGAGGACGGTCGCCTCCAGCAGCCCCCTGCGGAGCGAGCGGACCGGTGGTTCGCCTGCGGGAGGGTCGGTGGTTAGCGGGGTTCACAGGGTTCGCGCATGCGGAGCGGTGGGGTGCCTACGGAGCAGCGATGCTGCAGGGCAGGTCGGGGAGCGAAGCTGCAGGGAGGGGAAGGGAGGGCAGTGGTTCTGGTTTAGCACTGCTGGCGCTAGCGAAGCGCGAAGCAGAGCAGCGATGGGGGCTGGCGTGTTGTAAAACATTAGTTGTTAGTTGTAACTCGTTACTCGTTACTCGTCATTAGAGATAGCGAAAAATAAAAAAGGGTTAAGAAGGAATTGAACCTTAAATGAAAGATTTTGCAGATCTTCTACAGAAAACCATCTGTAAACTTAACCCTATTTAACCTCTTTTTTTTAACTCTGCTCCTACCATAATTATCACACTTCGCTCGCTACGCAGGGCGTTGCAGGCCGCAGGAGTGAAGCACATAAATCAGGAGAGGTCGCAGGACTGAGGGCTTTTAGACTGTGCGCAGCAGGACTGGATTACAGCGCTCCTACTTTATTTCGAGTATAACTAATAAAGGGCAAACCCGATTCAATATATTTACACCCCTTCACTGCAACGCCTCGCCTGCGTAGCGGCGCAGGCCACATGCGCGAAGCGAGCAGACGCCCTGACCCTCGCAGCCTCGGGCTAGTTGACAGCCTTTTGCTCCACAACTAAAGTAGCAATCTTTCGGGAAATAACTTTTAACCCGTAAACGCCCCCTTATTTGTAACCCTTCCTTAGAGTAAGGGTAGCGAGGGAGCAATCCCCCCCTCCCTCAGCCCTGGTAGCTAAAGCAGTCCAGCTACGGTTTTTGCTTCCTGCGAATGAGTGTGGAACCGCTCCGCTACCTTAAGCCGGTTGATTACAACCAGCTCTATGTCTAGGCTAGTCGATTAAAGCAGAGCTAACTATCCTCCAGGAAAAGTGGAGGGTATTAAGGCCGCTAAGAGTTACAGGTTTCGAAAGGGTGAGGGTGAA